AGAAGACGTCATGGGTACGTAGCAAATTCGTTGCAGATAAATATACACATTAGCCCTAATCCTTCTGCTCGAGTATGCGGAAAAAGAATCCCTTCATTTAGACTTGTTTTAGATAAGAGAAAAACTCGGACCACAAGTCCAATGTTAGCCGAACAATCAGATGTCAATCACATTAGCTCCCTGCTACTGTTGCGACTGCGAATAATAGCATCGCATTTCGCCTGAAATACTATCCCGTACATTGATCCTTGATCATAATCCAATAACTGATGGGAAATTGCTATTCTGGCAAACTTATGCTTCACTTCGTGTTTCATAAACCGTGATTCACTTTGTGCAGTGGGCCGCCGTTAATGGTTCTACATTCCACGGTTCTAGGTTCAATTCTGGCAGCGTGACGAAACAGAAGAAATAATCAGATGTTCTGCCATGTAAAATTCACATCGGGGAGAAGTAAACTTATACAAATCGCAGCCATCGGTTCCGATATTCATTTTTTGAAAGAAATCAACAAATATGTAGAACTGTGTATGTATAAAATGGGTTTAATAACGAATGACTGCTCCAATATCAGATTTCATGGCGCATTGTACCAGCATGAGCGCCAGCGCCTGAAACATCGTCTGTAATGAGGGTGACGTGGCTCTAATGGACACAATGACGCAAGAAGCATCTGCCACTGCAGATGCTCATACATCATGGAGCCATGGCTTGCTTATATGGCCCGTCTACATAACTAGGAGCAACGGGAAGGTGCAATACGCCGTGAAATCTGGTCTTGGAGGAGTCATGCGCTATTTGATATTCTCGTAAAAACAATTTAGAATATATAATGTATTTATGTAATCAGCATAAAACCTGTTCTTGAAGCTAATCCTGATGCTGTACCCAGTTTATTAATTCACTCCTTTTTGATCCATTTTGTCAAGAGATAAAGACTTCCGCATATGGAACTTCTTCATCATCCATGGCCGTTTCTTCTTTCGGGTTGCGGGCATAAAAAACTTACCAGGCA